ATCCAAGATATTAGCATGTCTGTTTGTCCTCTAACCTGCTGCTCTAGCCTCTCTTTTTTAATAGACCACACACATAGGTAAATTCAGGAGCACTGTAATAAAAATATTATTTTTGTTATTAAATGTTTCAGAGTCAAACCAAAAATGTGTGATAAGCATAGATTGGCTCATTAATCCTCGATATGATCATCTAAATATAGCCAGAACTTCCTCTACAGCACTTTTGCAAAGCTTTTTAAAAACCTTTATATTATACAGCAGTGATACATCTACTCTACTAACACAAATGCACAAAGTACCTGTAACTAGTCATTGCTTTGTAATGAGGGTATGCTAAAACATGACAGTGAAAGAGATGTGTGTGCACTTGTCACCTTCCTACACAAATGTGCAGGTCACAGAGACACTCCCCACCTTCAGTTTCTCATTATCAGCTGCATACATTACTATTACTTCAAATCAGCTGCAATTTCTTTGTTTATTGTCCATTCTCAATATAGTTTCTGCATCATATCCTCACAAAATGACTCTCACATGTTATTAAAATGTCCACATGAATTTCATTCCATACTTCCTGATGTTGCAAATTGACCCAGACAGACTACATGTAGTGAGCTTGTAGCAGAAATATCTAAACATGAAAAAAAAGCTGTATCAGCAGTTAATAAAATCCAAGACACAGAAGTGGAAATAATCCTATGGCACAAGCAAGATATCTGCTTCAAGAATATAAAACACAATCTACATTCAGGCTGCGTAGGGCTAGATACCTACTTTGCCCTCCAGCCAAAATACAAGCAACTCTTGAGTCTAATCATTAACTTGGGAAAGAGAAGAGTTGCATACCTCTATTCAGAGCAGGTTTCCCTTTCAACCATGCATTTTAGTAATACGCTATGGACAAAAAGAAGGTAAGATATCAACAGCAAAAAACTTCTCCATTAGTCTCATCGAAACCCAAAACAATGACATTTCATGGATTCAGAAAATAAGATTTACAAAGGCTGTGTAATGCATGTGTTTCCCAGATATTATTGAATTTCATTCCCTATTACTATATTCCCAATCAGGATGCCCAAATGCAGAGAGCTGAGAGATTTAATTAAACAACATCTAGAGGCACTATTTTTAATATGTACTGAAGATTCTGCAAAACAGGCTTTCACAAAGGTGCAAGAGAAGCAAACTTATCATCAGGCCAAATCCATCCAAACAGTTTCTACTTGCGGCAGAAGAAACCACAAAATCAGAAGTTCTGGAACAGCCAAGGAATACAACATAAGGGAGCACAATACAGCTGGCATAACACCGTGGCTAGTTAAGCTGCGAGGATCCCTATATTATGATCTCACAGGATAAACCACACTTTTCACACATTAACTCACATACTGCATTTTTGAAATAGTGTATTGGGAAGAATTTGACCTCTTAGGAAAAACTATCACAGTGATGCTACTGAGCAGTCATTTCTTGTAAATATTCTCAATATTCCTATGCAAACAATTTTGAACTGGCTTGAATATAAAACTTAGGACTGTAATCTTATACACATTTTCCTCATACTAAGTCCTGTTGTTCCTAGAGAACCTTACTAATAACTTACGTATTATAGTTACGTATTATAAATGTGCCTGCCCCCCCACTAAATATTCAAGCATTTCAGTTCATCTAATTTTGTCTGCTTTAAAAACTTCTGAGATATCTGTAAAGCTCACAAAATTAGCATAGCATACCTTTGCAAATGTTTTGTTTAGTAAGTATGTCAAATGCTAACCACAGTGGTGCCTTGACTTACAAATGTCTTGACATACGACCATTTTGAGTTGCAACCAGCTCCAGCCACAAAATTTTGCTTTGACTTGTTGCCGGAGCTTCAAGTTGCAAACAAAAGAGGCAGGGGGTAAAGGCGGGGAATTCAAATTACAGGACTAACCGTTGGTCGGTGAAGAGCTTCATTGTAGCTCTTTCGCCCCAATGGTTAGCGTGCGCGCATTTGCAGAGAGGCTTTGGACTGCCTGGTGCTGCTTTCTGCCTCTGGGTGAGTACATTTACCTGGTTTTGCAGGGTGGGTTTGGGTTTGGGGGGTTATGTTTCTGTGCTGTGATTTTTATTTTTATTTTGCTGTGTGTTTTTTCCCAGCTCCATCACGTTCCGATGGAGCTGGCTGTGTGTGTGTGTAGGGGGTGCTTTTGATTTTTTCCCCTCAGCCCCATCACGTTCCTATGGGGCTGGCTGTGGGGTTTTTTTTATTCCCCCCCCCACAGCCCTATTGCATTCCAATGGAGCTGGCTGTGGAGTGTGTGTGTGTGTTTGATTCCCCCCCCAGCCCCATCATGTTCCGATGGAGTTGGCTGGGGGGGTGTTTTTGATTCCCCCCCTAGCCCCATGGTGTTCCAATGGGGCTGGCTGTGTGTGTGTGTTTTTTCCACAGCCCCATCGCATTCCGATGGAGCTGGATGGGTGTGTGTGTGTGTTTTTTATCCCCCCCAGCCCCATCGTGTTCCGATGGAGCTGGCTCTGTGTGTGTGTATGGGGGGGTGTTTTTGATTATTTTTCTCCCGGCATTCCAGTGGGGCTTGGAGTGGTTTTTATTTATTAATTTTGGAGGGGGGTGGGTTTTTTTTGTTTTTTGTTTTGGTCTGGAATGGATTAATCACGCTCCAATGCATTCCTGTGGGAAATGGTGCTTCAATTTATGACCATTTTGAGTTACGCCCATCTTCTGGAACAGATTATGGCCGTAAGTCAAGGCACCACTGTATGTTACTGTTAAAACAACTTAGAACACCAAAAGGTTCTCAATTCCAGATACCCATGAAACCCACACTGTTGTCAAGTGATGAAACTCACATTCATATAAATGAAAAAAGAAAACATGGATAATGTATTTTAAACAGGGTAGAAGAGTTTTTAAAATTCCAAATGATTAACAGCAATAGCAGCTCACAAATGTGAAATCAAGCTCCCAGTGCTTCAATCCTCCAACTTTTCCAATGAGTGAAATTGACAATGCTATCAAATAGACTACATCCTTTCCAGCTGTACTGAGAGATAGACAATATAAATATTCTGATCACTGGACAGATTCCTAAATTTCCCTACCTCTTAGTATCTCTCATTCAATATAGAGGCTGAAATTCAGCAGTAAGTTGCAACTAGAATAGACCCACTGAATCAATGAACTTATGGAGGAGTTAACTCATCAAATCCCCATTGATTCAATGGGCCTACTCTTGTTGGGTATCAGTATTGGGTTTCAACCAACAATTCCTACATTTGAATAAATATGTACAGAATTATACTATTAACTGAGAACTGAATGATCACAGAAGATGGACAAATGGATGCCAAAAGACCAGATAAGCTGCAAAGAGAACCGAAAGAACTGTGTGTAAAAGTAGTCACATGATCAAAGGCTGAATATCAAAAACAACTTATAATTACAAGAAAATACCCTGAAAAAAATTAAACGGTAAAATAAAAGAGATGACAAGATGTACTGCCCATTATCTCCCCAGTTCATCTATCAAAATTTTGATTGATATTGGTGCCCCCCTTGCATAGTAGTTCATGCTATGCATGGGCAAAATAGGTGTGGTTTCCACTTTAAATGAAATTGACCTAATTAACAGTTCCCAAGATAATACATGAGCTAGAAGGCAACTGTCCTGGGGTTTTTTATTTTATTTTTTCTTTTTCTAAATTTGCCATTTAGCACTCTAATTAAAATGTGTATAAAGAGGCATATGTTAGGGGAAAGCAGCAACCCACCCCCACAATAGTTCACTAAGCAAAGTTTAAGTGTTCAGAAGGGATAAATTAGAAGCAAGTGTTTGTTTAAAAAGAAAGAACTGTGGAAAATTTGTCACAAAACCCAGATGTTTTCGAGTACAACTCCCAGAACCCCCAGCCTGTACTGCCAATGATAAAGAGGACTGTGGGAGTTGTAATCTGGAGCACCAAAGGTTTGCCACCCCCTTAGTACTTCGAGTTAGCAGGATCATGGTCACCAGCTCTAATATCCCAGCCTTAACAGGCATTACAAGCCAGCCGGACTGTTTTAATAGAGCTTATTTCTTGCCTGGATCTGAAGAGCTCTCTTAATGACAGCACCGTTTTTTTTGGGGGGGGGGTGAGGCGTCAATTCATACGGGTCGCTACTAAATCGGAGGTGACATGACAGCCCCTAACGACAACACTTCCCACCGAACTGCTTGCCGTCTCAGCCACCGCCTGTATTTTTAGCTGTTTGGGGGCGTGCATACCTCAAGGCGAGGGTTTCCATTCCTACGTTTTGCCAACCGCGGAAGCTGAATCAATCCAAACCGGGCCAGTAGTGAACAGAGTCGTTCCGACGGGACTCACGTCTCTTCCCGCCCCAAATATATTGGCAATGCCAGCCTGTTCCCCCCCACACACACACACTCACACCGCCCGCCCTCCTCCGCCGGGCGACCAGAGCTCTGGCGCTGGCCGTCGGGAGGGCCCATTCATATTTCGGTCACGTGCGCCTTCTCCTCCCCAATGGGCTCCCCAGCAGGACCGGCGGCGCGGCGCTGGAGTTTGGCCCGCGTTCAAAGCGGGAGAGAGGCAGAGGCGGCGGCGGCGGCATCTCCTACTGCACATAATAGTGAAGATACAACATGACAATGCCACTGTGATCCTCATAGCCCCCTACTGACCAGACGTCTGTGGTTCACAACGCTGCTGACAATGTCGTTAGGCTCCATGAGGCCCCTGTCTATTCCTCATCTTCTGACCCAGAATCAAGGGAAAACATACCATCCAGATCTACAAGCTCTTCACCTCATGGTGTGGAGAATTCCTCCTCAATAAACTCCATATTATCACACTCCAGGAAGCCCTCTACCAATCAACTCTATTTCTGCAATTGGCTGGCATTTACCAAAATTACTACTTGCTACCCTAAATGAAGAGGTTTTCCCATGGTACAGCAAACCTTTACCCTCCACGGGGCCAGCCCTTCTTGCGCTACTCACCGCTGTCCAGCTTGACGACCTGGGGCAGGCGGTAGGTGCTCACCAGCACGTCCAAGGGGACGGACACGGCGCTCCACTTCACATCCTTCAGACTGGTGCCCGGGGAGGGGCCCGCATCCATCTTCCCGCCCTTCCCTTTGCTCCTGAGGACCGGGAGAGTGTCGTCGGCGCCTGGCCGGGGAGCTGCCCCCGCAAGCAGCGCGGCTTTCTCGCTCAGCCTCGGCTGGTGCCGCGGTCGCCGCCTCCGCCCCTGGCCATGCCGGGCTTCGCCTAAAGGCCAGGAGACCCCCCGCCGACGGCGGCAGCAGCAGCTGCTTCGCCAGCCCCCCGGCGGCAGCGCGGGTTGCGAAGGCGGCAGCGGCGGCCCCGGCGGGCTCCTGCGC